ATGTGTGTGTGTGTGCATATATACACACACATAATATATATACACACACATATACATATATATTTTATTTTATGTTTATGAGTGTTTTGACTGCCTGTATTTAAGTGCCCTATGTGTGTACAGTGCTCACAGAGGCCAGAAGAAAGTGTTACATCCCCTAGAAATTAAGTTATGGGTGATTGTAAGCCACCATGTGGGTGTTGAAAGCCGGACCTGGTTCTCTACAAGAGCAGTAAATGCTTTTAACTGCTGACTGCTGAGTCATCTCTCCACACCCCCATTTCTCTTCTCTTTTTTTCACTGAGACAGTGTCTCCCTGTAGCCCCAGGCAGCCTAGAACTGGGTATGTAGAACAGGCTGGCCTTGATCTCACACAGATTTGGCTGCCTCTGCCTCCGGAGCATTGAAATTAAAGGTGCATGCTCAGTCTGTTTTTTGTTTTTGTTTTTTTTGAGACAGGGTCTAGCTATGTAGCTCAAGCTGCTATAATATAGAAAGGAAATCTAGGCGAAAGTATTATTTTTCATTGTTCACAGTGTGTTCCACATTTTTTACTTAGCACTTACAATTTTTAAAAAGATTTATTTTATTTTGTGCATGAGTGTGTGGCTGTGTGTGTAGGTATGTGTACTACATGCATGCATGGCGTCCAGGAAAGCCAGAAGAGGGCAGACCCCCTGGAACTGGAGTTACAGGAACGTAAGACACCGTGTGTGCTGGGAACCAAACCTGGGTCCTCTGCAAGAGCAGCACAGGCCATTAACTGCTGGGACATTCCTTTAGCCTCAACATTTATAATTTTTATTATACCTACGATAATAAAAAGCTACATATAACATGCAAGAGCTCATGAATATATTTTTTTCTGGATGGGTTGTCAAATAATACTGGTTTTTGGGAGGTAAAGTTGTCTATTTTTCTACACTATTTGAATTTCTTCTTCTTTTTTTTTTTGGTCTTTTTGAGACAGGAAGACCCTGCAGCCCCAGCTGTCCCGGAACTTACTATGTAGACCAGGCTGGCCTTGAACTCACAGAGATCCACCTGCCTCTGCCTCCCGAGTGCTGGGACTATAAGGTGTGTGCCACCATGCCCGGCTGAATTTCTTTTCTTTATATATGCGTGGGTACTGATTTTGGTCAGGCAATGCAGCACATGCCTAATCCAACATTGGAAAGGCCGAGGTGGAAGGAACACCCCAAATTCAAGGCCAACCTGGGCAAGATAGCAAGACCCTGGTCTCACAACACCAAAACAAAAACTAAAATGAACTAACCAACAAATAATATTTTAAAAACAATGACCATTACTAAAATAGGACATTATGATTAGTTTTTGGTTATCGTATTTTAAAAGCTTAAGTCTGAAACATTACCAATGCTGTTTCGTGCGTTTGAGGATGTTTGAAATTCACCATTTCCAGAGAAAGATGTTTTTTGATTCTTGTAACATCAGCTTCCCGTGCAGCTTGTAGCAATGAGTGGCCTTTAAATTCATCTAAATGAAGAAGCATTTACATCTACATGAAAATTATCATACTAATGAGGCTTGTGTAGTACAGCATACTAGTATTTTTCTTGGAATTGTTTTCAAAATAATCTCCAGAATAGCCAGATTAAAGCTCTGTGTTTGGATATTCTCAAATATAACCACCCCCTAAGACAGGCACAACAGTACTCCAGTTCCCCTTAGTCACGACTCAGTTTGTTCCCAAGTACATACAGATTTAGGCCATGAGAGATTCTGCTGTATTTCATAACTAGATTAGAGATATCTACACTACTACAATCTATTCACAGACCAGAGTGTTGTAAGAATTTTGCAAAGTATAGAACTTTTCTCAATAAAGAAATAAAGTGTTACCTATTACAGTAGTAGCAGATGGTCTTGCACATAACTATCAGATAACAGTGGATTAGACAAGTCAGCTATTCAAGTAATCCTCATAATGAACAAAATAAAAGAGGGCACTTTCTCAGTTTCTCTTTTACTCATCAGACTTGTGAAATCACCTATTATCATTACTGTTCTAGAATATGTTTAATTCAGATTGCCTTTTATATATAGTAACACTATATCTGCATTCAGTGCTTATGTCTCACTATATCTACTTCAGCTAGACAGAAAACCATAGAACTCGACTTAGGTGAAGAATATTAGGGGACTCTATTAGAGACTGCAAACTTACAAACAACACTAACACATTAACTACAAAGTCTTACCAAAGATATAAGTAAAATCCAAAGGTTTTCATTTCAAAGGATATCATCTTTAGTTCCCAAATTAAAAAAATTAGCACAAATATATTACATAGCATCTAAATTATTAACTAAACAGAGATACTCATGGCCAAAGGAACTATTTTACTATTTAAACATTCCCAAAATAAACAGGAAAGATAAAAATATTCAGTTTAACTGATGTCCTATGTCTTAGATGAACATTACCTCTGTGTGTGTGTGTGCGCGCGCGTGCTTGCTCAGGGAAGGTGGTTCTGATTACCCTGGCTGGCCAGGAATATGCCATGCTGTAGACCAGGCTGGCTTAGAACTCACAGTGATCCCTCTGCCTTGAATGTTGGGATTAAAGATGTGCACCACCAGGCATGACCATCACTTTTATACTTACATGATAATCTCTCTTTTAATTGCGGTGTAGGAGCTAGGTCAATAGCACTTTTATTGTGACAATTCAGCAATGTTGGATCTGCACCGTAACTTAGGAGAAGAGAACACACTTCAACCCTATTCTTAGAAGCTGCCTCATGAAGAGGAGTAAACTGCCACAAGTCCATTGCGTTTACACAGGCACCATGCTGGGGAAGAAAAAGTATATACTTAATGCCCACTTTTTAAGAGAACTTAGAATTATTAGCACTGTGTAATTTAACAACATGCTAAGTTTTTAAAAAGGTCTGTAAGAGTCTCTCCTCCCTTTTGGAGGAAAAATTTATATAATTTATATACCAAGATGTAACTCTCAAGTGTGTAAGTTACTGAGTTTTGACAGACATACATATCCATTCCTACCCCCAAGAAGAAACCAGACTCTTTCATTATCACAGAATGTTTTCTGATGCTCCTTTCACTGGCAATTTTTGCCCTATATCAATGTATTCCTGAATTTCATAAAAAATGAGGACTAGACATCTTTTTAAAAATAGACTTATTTTTATTTATGTGGCTGTGTGGCATCAGTGTGTATCACATGTGTGCAGGTGCCCACAGAGGCCAGAAGAGGTCAGATTTCCTAGAGATAAGAGTTACAAGCCACTGTGAGCTCTGATGTAGGTGCTGGGAAATAAACAGGTCTTTTGAAAGAGCAGCAAGTGCTCTTAAATGCTAAGCCATTTCTCCTGCTAAATATAATAGACATCTTTTGTGTTTAACTTTTTATTATTATTATTTTGGTCTTTTTGAGATACCCGGCTAACTTCTTTTTAAATTTTATTTTATGTGTATGAGTAGTATATAGCCTGCATATATGTAACTGCACCCATGTCATGCAGTGCCACGGAGGTCAGAAGAGGGATGGTTGTTAGCCATCATGTGGGTGCTGGGAATTGAACCTGGGCCCTCTGCAAGAGCAGCCAGTGCTCTTAACTGCTGAGCCATCTCTCCAGCCCCTAATCTATCTATTTTATGTGTATGAGTATTTTGTCTGCATGTATGTAAGTGCACCCATGTCATGCAGTAACTGTGGAGGACACAAGAAGGTGTACGATTCCCTAGAACTGGAGCTATGGGTGGCTGTTAGCTGTGGGTGCTGGGAACTGAACCTTGGTCTTTTGGAAGACCATCTCTCCAGCCCCATGAGCTTAAGTCTTTTTCCTGATTCCTACTAAATTTCATTATACCTGCTTCAACGGAAGCATCTTCACACATATATGTCTTCTCTAATTCTTTAGAAGCAGCCAATAAAACTATGAATCACAATAAAGGCAATGACAGAACCTTCTGACAACCTATTAGAGATTCCAACATTCCCTTTTTCAAGCAAAGAAATAGTAGTCAGCACTTTGTTCAGTAGCTGAATTTTCCCCTTCAAAGATCAATCTATTTGATTTCTTGTACTTAGAAGTGATAAAGAGGTAGAGAGAATGTCTTGCTATTCTTTAAAAAAGAAATTAAAAATTACATTTATTTCTTTGTGTGTGGGTGTGTGTGTGTGTGTGCAAACACATACATGCACATGCCATGATGTGGAGGTCAGAGGACAACTTGAAGGATTTGGTTCTTTCCTTCTAGCATTTAGATATTGAAGACTAAACTCAGGCTATGAGGCTAGGCAGTAAACTCATGCTATGAGGCTAGGCAGCAAGCACCTTTCTGCACTGAGCCACCTTAGCAGATAAACTCCCTGATAGCTTTGTGTTTGCTAGTACCATACTTGATTATTTAACCCAGGGACTGTGACTTGATGCCTTCCTTGCCTAGGTACAGTGAGTGTTTTGGTCATGGAATGCAGCCATTCAATGTTTGTTTGTTATCAGATGACAGCTACTGCTAGCCAGACTTTTATTTTTTCAGTCTTTTGGAGACAGGGTTTCCCTGTAGCCCCAGCAGGCCTGGAATTCACCCTGTAGACCAGGCAGGCCTCAACCTCACAGAGATCCTCCTGCCTCTGCCTCCCAAGTGCTGGGATTAAAGGCATGCAACACCATGCCCAGTGAGCCAGACTCTTTAGTAGGGGCTGTCAACCTGATTGACAGGTTGCCCAGGACCTCAGCATGTATTTCCAATCTTATCTACTTCTCGTCTCCAGACTTCCTTGAAGTTTACTAGTCTAGTAACTGCTTGCACCCTAATATATCACCCTTAGTATGATTTCTTTAGTTTTTCTTATTATTTATTTATTTATTCATTTTATTGCGCTGAGCATGGAGCACAGGGACCTGAACATGCTAGGCAAGTATTCTACTACTGAGCTATACCTTTGCCCTTCCATCCCTTTTGGTTATTATTGCTTTTGAGACAGGGTCTCCCTGTAGCTCAAGTTGGCCTGGAATTCACTATGTAGCCCAGGTTGGCATAGATTTCAAAGAGATCTACCTCCCTCTGTCTCCCACATGCTGAGACTAAAGGCACGTGCCTACCATGTCCAGCTCCCTTCCACTATTATTAACTAAAACTCCAGATCTTAGGAAAACATCATTCAGTTAGCTGCAAGTCCCAATGCAATCTGACTCACGTTTTACTCTTATTCACAGTAACATTCCAATATTATGTTCAATTCATGATTCAGTTTGATAAGAAACCAAAGCATTACTGTACAGACAGATGTATAATCACAGCTTGATTGTAAATTTTTAAGTTTATATGCCGCACAAAATATCTTCTGTGAGAAAACTGATTCCATGGTGGTACATAGCCAAAAGGAAACACAGATGTATTGGAAACAAGTGCCCTTTCCTTCCCATGATAGCTGCTGAGAGTGAGTAAAAGTATGATAGAGTTGGGTGTAGGTATGGGTCCACTTTTAAGGAATATACAGGTATATTGTACACATATAATACAGACGTATTTATAACTATTTTTTACTTCCACTCAAGGGTCAAAATCAGAAGTTGTTGCTAGTCTTGTAAACCTGTTTGTTAATTGGGAAGCCTACCTGAAGTATAACTGGGCAATGGTGGTTTTAATAACATAAAAGTTACTGACTAAAAATTGCTTTCTTTTTGGTCTTTTGAGACAGGGTTTCCCTATACCCCAGCTGGCCTGGAAATCACTATGTAGACCAGGCTGGCTTTGAACACAGAGATCTACCTGCCTCTACCTCTGAGTGCTAGGACTAAAGGTGTGCACCACCATGACCAGCTAAAAATTGCTTTCTAATCTTTAATTACAATTGCAGGCTCTCTTATAATCTGCTATTCATAATGGTAGTATTACTTGATAACGAAAATTATATGGGTCGGATCAGTAATCTGCATGTTATAACATAGGGATTTCTTTCTACCAACTACCCAGAACACAGAATAAGTCAGATGTATTATGTATTTAAGTAGTTTTATATAATTGTAGAAAATAGTAGAAAGATACAAAAGAACTAACCTTAACCAGAAGCTCAGTTACTTCATAATGTCCATAAGAACAGGCATTGTGTAATGGCACCAGGTCACTATGATGAGAGAAAAAAGCCTGTTATTACAGAATCCCTAAGTCTATGGCAAATTCTAACTCCCAAGTCGCCTTCAAATCTGTCTTTCTTTTCCCCCCGACTACTACTACTGTTCGGGCCTTTATTATTTCACCTCTATACTTCTGAAATAGTCTCTAAACCAATTATTTTCTAAGATACAGTCAAATCTTTTAAAAAGGTAAATATGATATGGCTACTCCTTGTTTTATTTAACATTCTTTTTCTCTATTGTTAAGAAATGGTTGCCAGGCGTGGTGGCGCATGCCTTTAATCCCAGCACTCGGGAGACAGAGGCAGGTGGATCTCTGTGAGTTCAAGGCCTGGTCTACATAGTGAGTTCTAGGACAGCTGGGGCTACAGGGAGACCCTGTCTCAAAAAGACCAAAAAAAAAATAAAATAAGGAAAATTCCAAGCTTGCACATCTGACCTGCAAAGAGAGGGGCAGGGAGGAGGTCCTTCACTGAAAGGGGAGACCCTGTCTCAAAAAGACCAAAAAAAAAATAAAATAAAATAAATAAATAAATAAAAAGAAATGGTTCTAATTTTTATTGAGACAGAGTTGTCACTATGCAGCCCAGGTTGACCTCAAACTCATGGTAATACTTCCTTAACTTCCAAGTGCTGGGCAATCCTGTAAGGTAAACTGTTATAGCACCCATAAATGAAACAAAATTCTTTCATGTTGGTAACAAAAAGCATTCTTTTACCTTTTTTTTTTTTTTTGAGACAGGGTTTCCCCATAGCCATAGCTGGCCTGGATTCACTATGGAGACCAGGCTGGCCTCGAACTCAAGAGACTCGCCTGCTTCTGCCTCTAGAATTAAAGGGGTGCGCCACCATGCCCAGCCCTCTTTTACAAATTTTTAAAAACTTGTTTTATGTGTATTGTATGAGTGTTTTGCCTGCATTTATGTAAGAGCACCTGTGCACGCAATGAAGGCAAGAGGGTGCTGGATTCCCCAGACCTGGAGTTACAGATGGTTGTTAGCCATAATATAAGTGCTGGGAACAGAACTTGGGTATTCTCTGAGAGCAGCCAGTGCGCTTAACAGCTGAACCATCTTTCCAGCCCCAAGATATTTCTATATTGTAGAACCTTAAAATTCTGGCCTCCACCTTTAAGCTTCTCTTCCTTGGGGATCAACATAAATAGTTGCCACAGTCATTACTATAACCTCTGATAAGTGATGGCCACCTGTGGATTAGTCTCTCTAGTTTTATACAAGCTCTTTAAAGGCTAATGGCTTTCTACTATACCAATTTTTGAATATATGGTTCTTTACTTGTCTGAGCACCAATTTCATTCCCACCTACTAGACACTCTTACTTGAATTTCTATCATGTTCTCATAAAACTAAGAGTTACAAAAGTTAACACAATGGTCTCTGCCAAACACTTTTCCCTCGTGTACTTCAGTATGTATATCATGATCTAACTCACTCATTTTCAAAGTTTAAGTTTTTAGAATTCTTTTCTCTCTATCACATCGACTTTCAGGGTGTCCTCAACTCTCAGAGATCCACCTGCCTCTGCCTCATGAGTGCTGGGATACAAAAGCATGTGTCACCATACCTGGAATCAATTCTTACACTACTTATACCTATCACATCGATGCCTTCATTCTTTGTAATCACTATTACAGATCTTTACTATATTTGAAACCTCTACAGTGCTCTCTCTATAAACTGTTCTTTTGGCCTCTAGTCTCCTCCAATTCATCTACATATTGTTCCAGAATGTGCTCCTCCTTAAACCCCTTTTAGGACAACAAAACATTCCACTTCAATTCCAGATCACGAGATGCTTAAGATTGCAAAATGGAGTTTTTTTGAGTGTCTTATACTAATATAGCAAAAACCTAGATTTTACCTATTTCTCTAATCCTTTCATTTGTTCCATGTGAATTATCCACTTTAGCTAAGCTGGTTTGGTTTGGTGTGGTATGTGTGTGTGTGCGTGTGTGCATGCGTGCGCATGTGTACTGGGAATTTAACCCAGAGCTTTGCATGTTATAGGCCAAGAGTTTTACCACTAAGCTACATCCCCAGTCCTCTGAATTCACCCATTAAAAAATGAAGACAGTATCTTACTAAGTTTCCCAGGCTGGCCTCCAACTTGTGATCTTCCTGTCTCATCTACCAAGTAGATGGGATTATAGGTCTGTGTCATCAAAGCCAGCTTAGGTTATTCTTAAATGTGATGTATTATCTGCATTCTCTTGCAGAATTGTTACCTTAACTCTGTTTTCTTGGTTCTTTTTCCCCCTTTTTATTATTCTTGAAAATTCTTATTTTTATTTTATGTTTGAGTGTTCTGCCTACATGCAAATAATTGCGTCTATGGCACAAAATGCCCACAGAAGCCAGAAGAGGGTGTTGGATTCCCTAGAACTGGAATTACAGACTGTTTCTGGAAACCCAACCCAGGTCCTTTGCAAGAGCAGCCAGTGATCTTAACTGCTGAGCTATCTCTCCAACCCCCTCTTTATCTTTTTATTATTTTGGAGTCAGGGTCACACATAGCCCAGACTAGCCTAAGAACCCACTATGTAGCTGAAAATGGCCTTGAACTCTTAGAGCCTTCTGCCTTTTCCTACCAAGTTATGAAATTATAGGCATTTGTCACTATGCCCAGTTCTAAACTTTACTTTCTTGAACTAAGACTTGTCTTTAAGGTATAGGTCAAGTATATATATAGCCTTCTGAAGTATTTCTTAGGAAGTCCATATATCAATCTTTCTACTTGGCACTTGTTTATGAAGTATCTTCCACACTCTATGAACTTATGCTTCCCTATGGCCCTCAGAGCAACCTGTGTATTACAAAAGCTCAATAATTGTTAACATTATTTGGTAAAACAAAATAAAACCTGCTTTTTTTCTTTATAAAAAGACAGGGTCTCCCTATGTATCCTTGGCTGACCTGGAACTTGCTATGCAGACCAGGCTGGGCTGGCTTTAAACTCACTGAGATCCACCTGCCTCTGCCTTCTGAGTGCTGGGATTAAAGGTGTATACCACCACACCCAACCCACAAGAATTACTTTAATAAGGATATAAAATGTGATGCAAGAAGTTCTTATATTTGTTCAAACCTTACCCTTTTTTTAAAAAAATTATTTTTATTTTATGTGGATGAGTGTCTGTCTACATTTATGTATGTGTATGACATGCATGCAGTACCTGCAGAGGTCATTAGAGGCCATTGGATACCCTGGAATTGCTTACCCTTTGTCTTTAGCATGGACATCTGCTCCATGTTGCAATAACAGCTGCACAATCTTTACTCTGTTGTATCCTGCTGCCAAGTGCAATGGAGTGGACTGAAATAGCAATCAAGTAAATTAATGAAATTCATACAGCAACTGTAGAAAGTGTGAAAAGATAAAAACCCAAATATCAAGAAAATTTAATGAGAACTTCATTGTTAAAAAGTAATCAATTTGGTTTTATAAAATCTAACATACATACTGAAAGCACTGCATATGAATTTAACATTCACTACTGAATAAAGGAATAAAATGTTCATTTATGAAGTTTTACTAAATTTAAGACTCTGAATCACTACTTAAAAACAGTGCTTCCTTCATATGTTTTATTAACTTAGAATAATTACATCTTCCTATTACCAGATGAGCATAAACTTAATTACAAAAGTACCTTTCTGCCATCACTTGCATGGCAGTTGACATTTAATGGTGTGAGGAGAGCCATCATTTTTTCCTCATTGCCACTCCTAGAAACACATAAAAAAATGTATTAGCCATTTATACTCTCTACCAGACCCTATCTGAAGACATGCATTATGACCACTAAGACAAAGTCATTCTCTTCAACTGCTTAGTACAGTTTTACACTTGTTGTTGTTTTAAAGACAATAGTCTATTTCATTCTGTAGCCCAGGTTGCCCCCGAACACATGGCAATCCTTCTGCTTCTGCCTCCCACATGTGGGGATTACAAGTATGGGCATCACCACACCCAGAAAAAACAAATTTTATGGTACACATTTTTAACATTAATACACACCTGGCACTTTCCAAGAGTTCATCTTTCTTATAGTCACCTGTGAATCAGGGGGAAAAATATTAGAATTAAAAAAAAAAGAATATTCTTATGCAAAAAGGTGCCCACTGAATTAAAGTGGACCGATTTGGAAATAAAATTTTAAGAATTGGGAAGTGGTTAATCAATATAATATCAATGTAGTTTAAACATGGAATACTTTTGCTATTAAAATGAAATAAAGAGAACAATTCAGTGTTATATAAGGAAGTGTGACTGTAAGTATAAAAACAAAAATGCACAGGTAAAGTCAAGTAAAAAAAAATATCAATCAAGTTGATCTAGAGTTAGATAGATTATTGACAAGCTTTCTTTTTCTCTGAAAATAAGCACTGTTGTGCTTATAATGAAGGAAGAGGGTGAGGAGAATGGAAGAAAGCAGGAAGGAGGGAGGAACCCACTTTATTCTTAACCAGAATTAGGGAGTTAAAACTCAACAGTCCAGTGGTAGAGCACTTGTCAAGATCATATGAGGCTCTAGGTTCAATTTCCAGCACCTAAAACTCTTTCAAAGACCAAATTAAACCAAAGCACCACCATCACCCCCTCAAAAAAACTTTACATATCAACATTACAAAACTGACAAAAGAATCTACAGTATTACTAACTGAATGTAATCATTAATACCTTTATGAATTTAGATTTACACTAGGATCCTTATTTAATGTTGCTTTAAATATAACAAATATGTAAAGGATTAATCATATAATACTTTATATGATGATAGTTTTCCTATTTACAAGTTTTTTATGTCCTAACATATTTCCAAAAAGATTCAAGCATGGAATAACAGAATAGTAAAGGAAGAAATGAACAGTGAACTGACAGTTACAATGATAGCTCATATTTCTTTTTAATTAAACATTTTTTGATTTATTTTATTTATATTTTATGAGTGTTATGCCTGCATGTGTGTAAGTGCACTCATTTTGTGCAATGCCCAGGGATGTCAGAAGAGGGTGTCGGAGTTACGGACATTTGTTAGCTGCCATGTGGGTGCTAGGATTCAAACCTGGGTCTTCTGCAAGGCCAGTGCTCTTAACTGCTGCTCACATGTCTGAAAGTCCTCAAGGACTAATCTAAATTCTCTTAGCAATGCCAGAAGAAATATCACAAAGTCTAAGCATAAAGACTCACAGTAGAATCCCCTCAGGCTTCTCTGATTTTTAGATCAGACATGATCCTAACAGTTATCACATAGTAGATAAGAATCCAATAAATAACATGGCAAATTGTTTAAGTGGAAAACACGGTAGGCAAGGGCATGTTAAGTAGACATAGCTCAAAACAAGTTAGCTAGTTTAAATTACAGTCTTGCACACATCAAAAGATTCCAAGGACATTAATATGTTAGAACAGTCATATTCATGGTACTGAAATGTGTCCTAAATCTTGTTTTGGAAAATGACTAGCATAAGAGAATTATATTTTTTGAAAGGTTCGCTAAAAAAATGATTACATCAAAAACGGAATAATAGGGGCTGGAGAGATGGCTCAGAGGTTAAGAGCACTGGCTATTCTTTCAGAAGACCCAGGTTCAAATCCTAGCACCCACATGGTGGCTAACAATCATCTAGAACTCCAGTTCCAAGGAATCTGACACCCTCTTCTAACCTCTGTGGGCACTGCAAAACACAAGTGCAGTTACATGCAGGCAATACATCCATAAAATAAAAATACACATAAAATAAAGTAAAAAAAAATTGTTTTTTGGTCTTTATGAGTCAGGGTCTCTCTGTAGCCCAGCTAGCCTAGAACTTGCTACATAGATCATGCTGACCTTGAACTCACAGTGATCTCTCTGCCTCTGCTCCCAAGTGCTCTGGGAAAATATTATTTTAAAAAATGGAATATGGGCTGGAGAGATGGCTCAGCAGTTAAGAACACTGGCTGTTCTTGCAGAAGACCTGGGTTTGAATCCCAGCGCCCACATGGCAGCTAACAACTGTCCATAACTCCAGTTCCAGGGGATCCAACAGCCTCTTCTGTCCTCCATGGGCACTGCCTGCATGACTTACATGGGTGTACTTACTTACATGCAGGCAATACATGTGCACATATAAAATATTTTAAAAAATGGAATAATAGTATATAAAGGGGTAGAGACATTAGTTACCTTAAAAACTTAAAAGCCATTTAAAAAATATCCTGCATACATGATAGTAATATACAATTCTCATACTTGCCCCCAATAAAACATGACAAATTTAAACATAAATTTGAAAGAAACAAAACAAAAACAAGGCTTTTATCTTTTTTGAACAAGAATCAAATTCAACTTTTAGATACTGCAAAAAATAGCAACTGAATTGACACTATTTAAATATTCCTGTTGAGGTCATTAACTGCAAGAGGCAGACTGTCTACCTAGCCTACCTGTTCTTTATATTCTTGGAATAACCAAAGAGAGCACAGACTTACCTGTCAGAACTGCTTTGGCAGATGGGTCTGCTAAATCCAATGCTGTCCTTCCATCTGTATTTCGGATGGTTGGCTCGGCTCCATGTTGTAGGAGCACTGCAAAAATAGCAACACTAACCTTCAAAATGGTGGTTGTGACAATGAATTAATAAATCATTTTCTTAAATCTGTACAGGGGCCAGTGAGATGGCTCAGAGGGTAAAAGTACATGCTACATAAGACTAACAACCTGAGTTCAATTCCTGGAACTCACATAAAGGCAGAGGGGTTGTCCTCTGGCCCTCCATGAGTGCCATGGCATGTACGACCTCCCTCTATCATACACATATGAAATAAATTAAAAAAAAAAATTGTTTTACAAAGTCCCAGGGGAGGAGGGGAGTGTGTCTCAGTACAGAATTCTCAAATTTGTTAAATGACTTTTTGTATCCTAATAAAATGGTGAATTTTTAAGAATATAAACTGGCCCAACTAATGCTCTTCTCAGGAATGTAGCAACTTGGAAGAAAACCTGGCATGCCTAAGATTTCTGGGGAGCAAGGGATGCATATTCTCTTTACCGTACTTTGACTGTCTACATGCATATTAAAAAAAAAAAAAGAAAAAAAAAGAATATAAACTGGGGCTGGAAAGATGGTTCAGAAAAAGAGCACTGGCTGTCTTTGCAGAAGACCCAGATTTGGTACCTGGCACCATATGGCAGCTAACAACTGTCCATAATTCTAGTTCCAGGGTTCCCAACGTCCTCTTCTGGCCTCTGTGAGCACTGTATGTGAGCAACACATGCAGGCAAAACAATCTTGTACATAACATAAAAATAAGTAAATCAGCTGGATGATTTAATCCCAGCACTTGGGAGGCAGAGGCCGGAGGATCTCTGAGATTCAGGAAAGCTGAGGCTGTCTCAAAAATAAAATAATTCATTCACTAAAGGCACATTAAGTTTTTTCTCAGTTCAGTGTAAGATTTTCCTAGGCTAGGTTATTTATATAGCTAGTGACAGGTAAGGGCGAGCTTGCTTTAAAGATTTTCTTGTTCCAAAGAACACTGCCTACTCTAGAGAGAGTATTTTATGAAATGTCTAAAGCTATAGTAATTGGGTGGCATATGCCTTTAATCACAGCATTCAAGAGGCAGAGATAGGCAGATCACTGTGAGATCTAGGTCAGTCTGGTCTACAATGAGAGTTCCAGACCGGCTGGGGCTACAGGGAGGCCCTATCTTAAATACCAAAAGCAAAAAACACCAATCCCCCCACCCAAAAAAAAAATAAGAAAAAAAAAGAAAACCCCCCCAAACCCCAAAAAACGCTACAGGCAGGCCAGGTACAAAGATCTGTAGGAGTTAAAACATGTGAGCACAGTCCTGTACACATATACACACACACACACGCAAGCAAATATTTTCTTTTTTTTAAAGAAAAAACTAGATAGCTCTGCTATGCTTCTGGTTCCTCAAAGCCATAAGTGATTATTTCCCTCTTCCTTAAGAAAAACTGAATAAATTAACTAAGAGAATGAGGCTGGCGGCTCAGAGTTAGCTGACTATTACCAACACCACATACTGTATGGTATCCTAGTCATAGGAATGGAATAGGTAGGTGAACATTGAAACCAAGCCAGGTGTAAAATATTCCTCATCAGGACAATTTTTCTTTGGAAATATTTGAATTGAGGGATACATACATATGGCTACCAGCTAAGGAGTTTTTTTGAGGTTAATTACATTGAATTTTGAGCTAAAATACAAAAATTCTAAAGTTAATAAACTTTAAGTTAAATTGCTTCAGTAAAATTGAAGGCACATAACAGAAAAGCCTTGTTAAAGCACTCTACGGTTATGTGTTATGTAAAAGATATTCCAGGGGGCTGGAGAGATGGCTCAGCAGTTAAGAACACTGGTTGTTCTTGCAGATTACCTGGGTTCAAATCCAAGCATCCACATGGCAGCTAACAACTCTCTGTAACTCCAGTCCCAGGGGATCTGACAGCCTCTTCTGACCTCCGTGGGCACTGCACGACATGGGTGCACTTACCTACATGCAGGCAATACACACATACAGATAAAATAAAAATACTAAATAAAATTCAAGAAAAAAATCTTAAAAAGAAAGAAAGAAAGAAAGAAAGAAAGATATTCCAAGACCTTTATAATTAAGGAGCTGGTGGAAAACAGAAAACTAGAAGTCGCTCTTCTATGAGTGTGCTAATGAATGTGTAT